TCTATCATTCGCAAGCTATTCCAAAAAAACTGAAGAGGGAGGAATGCTTCCAAATTCACTTTATGAGGCCAGCATTAGCCTGATGTCAAAACCAAAGACAACACACACAAAAAGGGAAATCACAGGCCAATATCCCTGATGAACACAGATGCAAAAATCCTCAGCAAATTATTAGAACTGAATTCAACAATACATGAAAAGATGCTCAACATCACTAGTTATCAGGGAAATACAAATCAAAACCACAATGAGATACCACCTCGAACCTGTCAGAATGGCTATTATCAAAAAGACAAGAAATAAAAGTGTTGGTGAGGATTTGGAGAAAAGGGAACCCTGTGCTCTGTTGGTGGGAATGTAAATTGGTGCAACCACTCTGGAAAACAGTACAGAGGTTCCTCAAAAAGTTAAAAGTATAAATACCAGGTAATCCAGCAATTCCACTCAAAGGGAAAAAGAACCCTCTAAATCAAAAAGTTATATGCACCCCCATGTTCATTTCAATATTATTTATAATAGTGAAGAAATGGAAACAACTTTTGTGTCCAACAATAGATGAATGGATAAAGATGTGGTATATGTATACAATAGAATATTTCTCAGCCATAAAAAATGTGTGGCAACATGGATGGACTTAGATGATATTATGTTAAGTGAAAGAAGTCAGACTACATTTATCACAATGATCACTTCCTTATATAAATGTCAACTACACTTCAGTATAAAAAAAACCAAAAAACCAATTCTATGCACTCCTGGGGAAGTCTTCATGTATTTACAGGCATCTGCAAATCCTCAAAAAACTCATGAAGGGGTATACCAGTGTGTACAGAATGTTTACAGCAGCATGATGTTTTTTAAAAAAATTTTTATTGTGGTAAAATACAAGTAACATAAAATTTACCATCTTAACTATTTTTAAGCATACAGTTCAGTGGTCTTAAATTCATTCATAGTGTTGTGCAACCGTCCCCACCATCCATCTCCAGAACTCTTCATCTTGCAGAACTAAAACTCTATTCCTGGCAACCACCATTTTACTTTCCGTAGAGTCATACACTATTTGTTTTTTTGTGACTGGCTTATTACAGCAGCATGTTTTCTTAAAAATTATTATTCCTTGGATATGAAAATGAAAAACAAAAACAACACACCTTGAGATACACTCAGTATCTAGCCTATTGTGAGACCTTTGATTAATGTGAGACAAAGGATTTTTAGTTTGTTTCCTGCTTCTCATTCTTCTCTGTCTCTTTTCTGGTCTTCTCATGGGTTACTCTAACATTTTCAGAATTCCATCCTGATTTATGTAGTGTTTTAGAGTATATCACTTTGTATAGTTTTTTTCGGTGGTTGCTCTAGATACAACAGTATACATAAATCAATTAGCAGTCAGCCAAGTGCAGAAATCCTACTTCCATTTAGGACCTTTTGCCTCCCCACTTTTAAAATATAATTGTCTTAAGTATTCCCACTGTATAGATGGAGAATATCAAATGGTATTCTTTTTGCTTCAACCATCACGTCTGATGTAAGACACTTGGAAGTAGGATAGTCTATTTTATAATATCCCTATTTTTCCCATTCTAATGTTCTTTTCTTTCAACAGTTTCAAGCCTTTGTTGTTATCATTTACTTTGTTCAGAGTTATTTCCTTTAGTTTTTCCTTAAGGATAGGCTTGCTGACAATACTCTTAGTTATCTCTTGAAAGTGTCTTAATTTCCCTTTTATTCCTAAATATGTTCACTGGATAGAGAATTCACTGCTGATAGTTCCTTTCGTTCCACTTGAGAAAAATATGCAACTTCCTCTGGCTTCCATGGTTCAGATGGGGGCGAGAGGGTGGTTTCTCCACTGGTGTTTGGTTGAAGGAAGGTGGGTCTTACCAACAAAGTTGTCTGTTTGGCCACCCTTTTCCTGGTTTTACTAAGGGGAACAGGCTTAGAGCTTTTTTGTTCTGTGTCTGTTGGAGGTTCTGGCATGGAAGCTTCTGGAACACATTAGCTGAAAGATATGGGAGGTGAGGAGAAAAAGGGGAATTTACTACCATGTTGCTCCTCCGCCCTCAAGGTCTCACAGTTTGCCTTCTTCTTTTCACATTTTGGAGTCTTCCCATGCTTGTTTATTGATGCCCAAGGTTTTTTAGTTGTAAGAGGGATGACCTAGGAGGAATGGTGGTCATGTGTTTTGGCTCAAAACCCCTGATCTGATGATACAGAGTTTTTCCCAACATTTTATTATGAAAAATTTCAAACACAAAGTAAAACTGAAAGAATTTTACAGTCAACACCCATTTACTATCACCTAGATTCTACTATTAATATGAAAAGGGGTCTACTTCTCAACTTGAGTGGATGTTTTCAGGGGTTTTCTCTTTATGTGTTATTATTGGATTATTATACATTCTAATTGCCTTTCTGTATATTTCACATTTTGAAAAGTATGAAAAATATGACTGTTTTTGTTTCATACACACAATTGTGTGTAAGCACATACAATAGCATATATGAATAGATGTAATCAGTGTTTATTACTCTTTCTTCATTCCACATACTATGTGTAAATTTCTTATAATTTTATTTTCACAATCAGGTAAACAACAAAGCACTTTACTCTTTACAAAAATTATGCATATGCAGTATTGAAAAATGACCAAAATTTTGAACATTTCAATAAAGTACATATACACGCTATTTATATTAGAAAATATCTAAATGGCTCAATAAATATGAGATCATATTTAATTTCACAAGTACTCAAAATTAGATATAAAAAGTTTGCCCTCTTGAATAAATAAGTTTTTTTTAAAGCACTAAAAACAAAACAACCCCCCCCCCCAGAGTAGGCATGGGTGTTAGGCACAGCACATATCATCGCCAACTGCTTATGGAAATAAAAACTGTAAAAGCTTCCAGGAAGGCAACTAGGCAATGGGATCAGAATGTCACCAGTCCTTGATCCAGTCATTCAATTCAAGAAATTTAAACTAAAGAAAATAATCTTCAAAGATATAGGTATGAGAATATTAATGGAGCAAAAAACTGGAAAAAATATAACAATAGGCATTAAATAAGCTTAATTTAGTTAAATATATTCAACTAAAAAATTTAAGTAGCCATAATAGGATGCACTGAAGTCATTCAAAACATTACTGAGGGAGAGTATCTATTGGCAAATTCAAATGCTCAAGGTACATTCTTTTTTTTTTTTAAAGATTTTATTTATTTATTTGAGAGAGAGAATGAGATATAGAGAGAGCATGAGGGTCAGAGGGAGAAGCAGACTCCTTGCTGAGCAGGGAGCCCGATGCGGGACTCGATCCCGGGACTCCAGGATCATGACTTAAGTGGGGGAAAAAAACCAAACTAAGTTACAACTGCTATCCGCAAGATTCCATTTCGTTAAAAGGAGGCTGGCAGCGATGGACAGATTAATAGGGAGTTCAAAGGGCTGTTGAAAGATGTTCACCAAAACGTTAACCACTTCTGTGCGGTGGCATCGGGTGCATTTTTCTTTTACTTTTTTTTCTATTTATAAAACCTTCTCAATGGGACATGTTCCCATTAGGAAGAAGAAAAGATAACCACTGGCTTCTTCCGCACCTGGAAGGTCCCTTCCCTCCCACCGCTGCTCAGCGAGGGCTGCCAGGGGGACCCCACTCACACTTCGGAACTCGCCCAGATCCCACCACCCTGCTTTCTTTTCGTTTTTCCCTACAACGCTTATCTTCTAAAATGTTATAGAATTATGTTTATGGCTTACTGTCTGCTCCCTACCAACTCCCCCAAAAAGTTCTCGAAAGCAATGATCTTTGTTTTGTTCACGGACTGATTTCCAACCACTTATGGCAACGCTTGCCACAAGAAGGTGCTCGAAACACTCCGGCTGAATAAAAGGGAAAATAGGTTTGCTCTCGGCGGTTGTCTACTTGCCTTACTATCATTTATGCAGATGCACAGCTACAAGACACTGCCCTCGGCAAACCTCCGTTTCCTTCACCGGGAGTCAGAAGCCATAGTCCTCGCAGCCGAAGGGGTGTGACCACGAGCCCGGAAGCGGGAGCTGGGCACGCGACAGGCTCGCCCGGCCCCGCCTCGCCGACGAGAGCGGAGAACTACACTTCCCAGAATGCTTAGGTCCTCGCGTGGACTACATTCCCCAGGAGCATTAGCGGCCGTCCCTAACTCGCCCCCCCCCCCCGCCTCGCCTCTCTAGACAGACAGCCGGCTTTTGCAGCCAGCGGCTCCGGGCCAGAGTTCAGCCCAGGCATCGCCCGGGGAGGGGTCCCGACCCCAGGAGGCAGTCCGCCGGGGCAGTGCCGGAGCCTCCGCCTGCGGAGCACGGCCGGGGAGGCGCAGCCCCCGGAACCCCGGGGCCTGGGCGAGGTGAGCGGCGGAGGGTCGGCGGAATGCGGGACGGAGGGAGGACCGGGCCCTCGGGAGGATGCGGCGCCGGGGCGCGGGACACAGGCCCGAGAGGCGCGAGCGGGGCCTTTGTGGGCGCGGGCGGGGGGCCGAGGGCCGGCACCCCCGATGTGCCCGCCTGCCCCGCACCGGCCATCCCGCGGACGCGCCCCTGACCGCGGCAGGTCGGGCACTTGTCCCCACTGGCCCAGGCCCCGGTCACCCTCCTGCTCCCTCCGGACCCGTGCCCAGCGCGCTACCTGCCGGGCCCTGCGGGCGTGTGGATTTGCTACCTGCTGTCACTGAACGTGAGGAACTGTTTCCGCCCCTCCCCGGCGCCGCTGCCCTCCCGGGCTGCAGGCGCAGAGATGTGTTTTCTGCCAGAAGTGAGGTGCCGGCTTCCCCCGCACGGCAGAACCTGGACTGGAACCCAGGTTTTCGGCTTCTGTGCCTGCTTCTCTAGACGGCAGCCCTCTGGCCGCCATAGGAAAGCTGCTGTCATCCCTTTCCGAAGCACTTTTCTCTAGAAACCTGGAAGGAGATTCCTTGACAGGAGGGGGGAGGTTTCGGGGGGGGGGGGGGGGCGCTTGGGGGGGAGAAAAGTTGTCCCCTGCGGGCAGTGAGGTTAGAGCAGGGGCTCTGGAGGCGCGCGGTACGGATCCCGGTGCACCGGGCCAAGTGGCTCCGGCTCTGCGCTCAGTTTCCCGATCTGTAACACTGGCGTGGACAATGGCAGCTGGGCGGCGGGACTGAACGATGTGGGCGGTGCCTGGCCCGGGGGGAGGTTCAGTGAGTTATTGCTGCTACTACTGCAGCTGGAGTCTGTCCTTTTTTTCTGAGCCGCACGGCGAAGAGTGGGGTCCCGGACCCCTGGGGGCTGGCCCTTGTCTCTGGGCCTGTCTAGCCCCAGCTCCTTCTGACTTGCCTCTCCCAGGGCTCGTGGCCTCATTCTCAGGCGGTGTAAGGATTTCAGAGCTGGTGATTCTCAGGGGTGGAAAGCACAAGGGGCTTCTCCCTCCTGGCTCCCTTCTTCCTCTTTCAGATCTGCCTTCTGGAGACTCCACCCATCCTCGCAGAAGAGCCCAGAAAGAAGATATGGCTATTGGACCCAGGGAAGCAAGGTCTCAAGTGAGTTCATTGCCATCTCAGGTCTTACAGATAGACAGAGAGATAGATCGATCGATTGGTTGGTTGGTTGATTTACTTACTCGCTTACTTACCCACCCTTAAACTGAAGTTCTCTACTCAATACAATTTTCTCCAGGATTTGGAGCCCTAGCCCTTTTCTCCTTGAAGAGTTGATCCACCCAGGTGGAGGGTGGATTCTGTAAGGCGATGTTTACCTCCTCCCTGCCAATCCATGTCTAGTGTTTCTCTTTTCTTTTTCTGACAGACGCTTCTTTTTATTCATGAATCTCAGTTTAGTGTTTGGTTACTAACTTGTGGTAAGATGCCACATGGGGACGGAACAAAGAAACACGCACACTTGGCAGTTCCTTTCTGTCCCTGCTTCCTTGGCTCGCCCTGGTCTCCCTCCCCACCCTTGGCTTTTCCTTAGGATACCTTCCCTAGACTTCTCCAAGCCACCATTGTTAGGTTTTTCTCCCTCTTTACTTTGTGGATCATGTGCCTTGTTTCTGTACTCCCTTGAAAACTGTTCTTGACCTGCCATTTTCATCCTTCTGTTGTTGGAAATGGTCCAGGTGAGCCAGTGCATGAACAAGGAGTAGCCGTGTTGGAGGGGACACAGTTGGAGAGATCTCTGGACTGCAAGGGCAGAGAGAAGACTCCCCAGGAAGGAGCAGGGAGGGTTTTGTGGGATATCAGGAGTGGAGAGGCAGGGTCTCCAGTGGGTAAGAAGCGGGGCTTGAAGCCAGACTGCCGGGCTTGAACCCATCTCCTTGGTTGTGTGTGGGCCTTGGACGAATGGCTCCATCTCTCTACACCCGTTTCCTCACCTGGACAATGGGAGTAACAGGCATGCTAACCTCATGGGGTAGGTGAAAGGGTCAGGTGAGTTAGCGCATGGAAAGTGTTTAGCTCAGGGCTGGGCACTAGCAGATGCCCAACATGGGGTGGTTGTGGGAGACAGATGACGTTACTGTAGTAATAATACCACTCATGCCGACAGATGGGAATGGCTGTACCGTGCTGCTAGGACTTGTCCTTTCATTGCTCGTCTTCATCTGACAGTAACAGTTAATGCTGCTGGGGGTCGGCCTGAGGGCTTGGCCTTTGTTCTCTCTCTCACGCCAGCGCAGCAGTGATCATCCCCGTGTTACACATGAGCAAACTGAGGCTCAGAGACGTCCAGTAACCTGAATTCCAACCCCAGTGTGTCTGGCTTCTGGGTCCAGGCTCGTCACTGCGCAGCCATTCCCCTGGTGCCTCTTTCAGAACCCGGGGCAGCCCCAGCCCCCGTGTTCCCAGAGCTCTTCTCTGCTGTGATGTTGTCTTTGGGCCCATGAAACACCGTGGTGGTTGATCTTCGGGCTGGGGTCGGCCAGTGCATATCTGGGCTGCTTTTTTCTAAAGCTTTCCTCTTTCCTCTTCCATTCCCACAGAGCCAGACTGCTCTCGTGCCCAGAATCTTCTCCATCCCTGCAGAGGAGCTAATGCGTGTGGCATTCTCCCTAACCTCACCTGCTCCCATATGTCCGTACTGTATGGGCTTGTGTGTAAAGCTCAGTGACAGGCGTTTAAGACCAGAGAGAGAATATACCGAGTGCTGGGTTAACAGAAAACTTTAATTATTGTCCTGCCTCTGCCACTGATAAAGTATGTGACCCGGGGTCTTGACTGCTCTGGACAGTCTCATCCTCATCTCTGAAGTGAGGATTGAGCCGGGAGATGGTGTATGGCCCTGTCCAGCTACACATTTTTCTTTCATTGATCCAATTATTTTGTGTGTTTATCTTCTCTGCCAGCTGGATTGTAAATTCTTTGAGAGCAAAAATTATTTCTTATATTCCTCCCCAATATGTAAATAATTTAGTTTTCTTACCATAAAGATATTGTATAATCATGGTACAAATTTTAGAGTATAAAATATGTACATATATATGCACAGATGTATATATGTATGTGTGTGTATTTGTGTGTAGAGTTGACCCTTGAGCAACACAGGTTTGAACTGGGTAGGTCCCCTTACACGTGGATTTTTTTCAATCAATACAGTACAGTACTATAAATGTATTTCTCTTACAGTTTTGTTTTTTGGGTTTTTTTTTTGGTTTATTTTTTGAGAGACAGTGCAAGTAGATAAGGCGGGACAGAGAGAGAATGAAAATGAATCTCCAGGAGATTCTGTGCTGAGTGCAGGGCATGATGTGGGGCTTGATCTTATGACCCTGAGATCATGATCAGAGCGGAAATCAAGAGTGAGACGCTTAACCGACTGAGCCACCAAGGTGCCCCCTTATGATTTTCTTAATAACATTTTCTTTTCTCTAGCTTACTTTAGTGTAAGAATATAGTATATAATACATATAACGTGCAAAATATGTGTTAATCGACTGTTTATATTATTGGGAAGGCTTCCAGTCAACAGTAGGCTATTAGTAGTTATGTTTTTGGGGAGTCAAAAGTTGTATGTGGATTTTCGACTGTGTGCGAGGCTAACCCCCTCCTTGTGCAAGGGTCAACTGTATATTTTTTTTCATATATTCAAAAGAAAGTAGAATCACCCTTAACCCCACCATCTGGAGATAATCACTGTCAATCATTTGTCGTGTATCCCTTAGCCATATACATATATATATGTAATTTTTTATCAGAATTGAGTACAAACTACACACTGATGTATAACCTGCTTTTTGTATTTAACATTATCTTGGGTGTCTTTTTAACAAACATTGACCTAACCATCAGTTGTGTTGGTTGCATAGTATTTTATATTGAATATGATAATAGCCAACATCTGAAGCTTTGATATGACCCAGACATGGTATTAATTATACTGTATGGGTTATCTCATTTATTTAATAGCTGTATGTGGTAGGTTGTGAGAGGCATTTTTGCAGAATGGTTAAGAACGGAGCCTTGGTCATGTACCTGGATTGGAATCCCCGTTCTACCACTGACTAGCTATGGGACTTTAGGCAAATTTATCCTCTCCATGGCTGTTTTCTCTCATGTAAAATGAGGACACTGATGATATTTTCTTTTAGAGTTGTCGTGATTTTTAAATAAAGATTATATTAAAGATTAATAGAAAGTTCTAAGGATTGTACTTGGCCTGTGTAAAGCATTCAGTAGAAGAGAGAGATTTCAGTTTCCATTATTTCTGTCCTCCAGCGTCAGTGAGCACTCAGATAATACCTTCCATTAGTGACCCTACCCTTCATCATCCGTGATGACTTAGCTTGTTTCTAATTTTTTGCTATTACTAAAACCATGATAAATGCTCTGTGTGCATTTTTGTGTACTGTTCATTATAATAGAAATATAATTGGTGAGTTAAAGAATAAACATCTTTTAAAGCTTTTAATATGTATTATCAAATCACCATCAGCAAGATTATTCTAATTAACACTCCAATGGTCTTACTTCCTCCCCACATCTCCTTATAATAGTTAAAACAGGGCCTGGTGAATACTTCACGCTGCTCAGTATGTATTTGTCACTGGCCTATGGTTCATTAAACAAATGACCTGAAATCTGCAGACACCAGAATGACGTCAGAAGCCTTTCACGGCCACCCGCGTACTCAACCCGCTACCTTCGTTCTGTGTGGTGGGAGGTCCTGGGTGAGCTGGGATGGCTTGTCGTTACAGGTGTCGGTGACCTTCCAGGACGTGGCTGTGCTTTTCACGAGGGATGAGTGGAGGGAGCTGGGTCCTTCTCAGAGAAACGTGTACCAGGAAGTGATGCTGGAGAACTACAGCAACCTGGTCTCACTGGGTAAGGGAATTTTCCCTGTAGATGAAAAAGTCAGACGTTAGCATAAGTCAGCACCTGCTTCCCTGCATAAAAGCCGTGGGTCATCAGGAACTTTTAGCTGAATTTTGCCTTAGGATTGTACACATTGTAAATAAATAAGTGTTTAAAACTTCTTTCCCCCTATAGGCATGGATTTGTCCCATGCATGGGACAGTTACCATACTTGCATGTTAGAAATTCCCTCATAGTTCAGGCAACATTTTCCTGCTGACTTTGCTCAGCTCACAGCAGAGAGCATCTCTCAGCCGTCTTCATTAACCTGCGGCCAGCCTTTCCCAATTCTCCCTTCCTGCCTGACGAAGTTGTATAATCCACCTTTGAAAGGGAGTCGGAGAGCGCTTTCTCATGTTAAACAGGGCACTTGGTACACAGTCTCTCCGGATGGGTACCCCTTTACAAATATTTAGTCTTTACATTAACGTATTCCCTATTCTGTAGAAAGCCATGGATACTCTAGTAATCAAAGCTGCATGTTTATCATATTTCTGTAACCTACAACAACCAATTGCGTAGCCACGCCCTACAGGTCCCTTGCTTTTCCCCTCACAAAGGCCCTCACATCGCGGGGGCACGGCTCGAGCACCCCACCGCTCGAGCACCCCACCGAAGCTCATTGTGTCGTCCCCTGGGTTTTCCACTCAGATCCGTGATGCCTCTTTGAGTCAAAGCAAAACCAAGTCTTTTCTTTTTGTCTCTGAGCAGGACTCCTGTTTTCCAAACCAAAAGTGATCTCCCTGTTGCAGCAAGGAGAAGATCCCTGGAGGGTAGAGAAAGAAAGTCCTGGAGGCCCCTCTCTAGGTGAGTGGGTGGCACCGAGGGGCCGGGAATGGGCTCGGGCAGCAGTCTGGGTGGTAAGTGGACGGTGCGGCCTGGAGGGGTGGTCCGGGAAAGTTTCCCCTGGGCCTCTGTCCTCGAGAAGTGGTGGAGAGGGGACGCTCGGGCCCCAGACGCAAGCTTCCTCTTAGTCTCTGGTAGTCACTTCCCAACGAATCTCTCAGGAGCTCTTACTCGTTCCTGTTTTCAGAGGAGGGCTGCACATCGGGGATTCGGTCAGCAAACAGCGTACTTAAGGAATGGCAGGGAATCATTCTGACCGAGGCTCAGGGTATGTGAGAGAAGGAGCCGAGGAAGGAAATGGTGCCAGAAAGCTAGCCGGGCCGCGGTACAACGGGCTTTGACAAGACCCGGACATGGGACCGCCCCATGGAAATAAAGGAGTTTCAGCAGATACTGGAGTTCTTGGTATTTTAGGAAAGTTGACTTAACTGTGAAACAATGGAAAGGTCCTCCGATAAAGGCGTGGCGGGAGAAGCTGGGCGAGTCCCCTCTCTGGCACCGAGCGCCACCGTCAGAAACGAGGGCAGCTGGTGTGGACAGGGCTGGGGTGGGCGGGGGGGGCATCGTGCTGATGTGTCACCGTTGCTGCTGAAGGGAACGGACGTGGCTGTGTGTGTGTCTGATGTGTGTGGAAGTGCAGGTGGGAAGGCTAGGGGACACACCTGAGCTGGTGCCAGGACCTCCACTGGGAATGGCATCGCGAAGGGGCGGGATGAAAGAGGGCTTTAGTTACATGGAATCTTAGCATCTCATGGAGAATAGATTCATGAAGTCCTTGTGTAATTTGAGTTGAATACGCATGGTCACTTTGGGAGCATTGTGGGGATAGATTTAAAGTGAGGGAAAACCCGATGTGGAACCTTCCCGGAGACACTTGCAATAAGGTAGGTGAGATGTTTCCAGGGTCTGGACAAAGGCACGGGCGGTGGGGTCCAGGAGGGAAGAAGAGAGGCCCCTTTGTGAAGGGTGAAGGCCGAGTTCTCTGTGGGATGGGTCTCACTGGAGATGGGAGTGGAATGCTGGTGGGGAGAGATGCTGGTGGACGGTTGTATGAGGTCTGTGGGACCTCGGAAGGGAGGTCAGGGAGCCGTCGGTACAGTGGTGGCATCTGACGCCTCGAGCTGACCAGGCGAGGACAGAATACCAGGAAACCTCACCATTTACGAGGTGGGTTAGGAAAGAAGACTCTGGCTGAGCCTGAGAAGTCATCAGAGGAGAGAAACGGGAGAGGCGGCTGACAGCGAAGTTGGGGACGGAGAGCTGCTGAAAGGGGGAGGATCCGGGTTCAAACCCCCACCCCGTTTTCCTGTCCTGTGATGGACGGTGCGTGAGCTCCATGCTGGGTACTGGCGATGCGACATTGGACAGAAAGACACAGGTGCTTCTGACTGAAGGTCACAGTCGAGTGGGGAGACAGGTGATTGTGCACTGAGCACACACGGGGTGGGGAATGACCCCATAGGAAAGATGCAGAGTGTGTGAGAGCATGCAGAGTGTGTGAGGGGCAGTGTGGGCAGAGGCTTCCCTGAGGAGAGCAGGATCCGAGGATGTGGAGCCCGAGTCCAGCCACAGGAATGGGCCATGTGAGTCCAGAGAGGGGAAGCCAGCATGTGCTGCCAGGAGCCAGGAGAGAGCAGCAGGGACCAGACCCCCTGAACCGGAGCAGCCCAGACACAGGATTTGGTCTGTCTGAGAGCCAGGCAGGGCACCTGGGGACTTGGAAGTAGCCTATCACGGCCCCAGGTGTGAGAGCAGCCTGCAGGCCTTGGGGGGGCCTGTTGGCGTGGACATGGAGGCTCGTCCCGGCTCTTGTCGGGTCCTGATGCGTCAGTGATGACCCTTCATCCCGTGGGCCCCGCAGAGGAGCTGCAGGCCGGCGGTCTCCTTCCCCAAGCCCCCAGGCCAAGGGAGCCTTCTTACCAGATGTTGAGGTTTCTGCTGTGGGAACCACCCTTGTCTGTGTGTCTGTCTTTTTAGCTCTGGTTTGGGAGAAAGACACGAAATCTGGGAAGCTGGAAGAGGCCGCCACAAAGGGCCCAGAGCAGGCGGGCATCAGGGAACCAGCCGAGGGTCGGCAGGGGCTTCCGGCCCGCTGGTGGCTGGGGGCCGAGTCTGGCATGAAAGATCAGAGGAAGAGAAGGAAGGATCTTCCCCTTTCCCCATGCCTCGGGAGCCTCTCATCCATGAATGCATCTCTCCAAGTGAAGCGAGTCTTGGGTGGGTTAAGGGGAGTAGGAAGTGTGACTGGGGTCCAGAGCTGTGGGCCACGGGGGAGTGGGGCTGGGGTCCTCCGCCAGCCTCCTCCTCGGGTTCCCGGAGACGTCCCTGAGGGCGGCCCATGGGGGGGGGGCGGGGGGGTTGTGTCTGAAGGAAGGACAGCATGTGCGTGTGTCTCTGGACAGGAGGCACCTCCTCTCCTTCCTCAGCGATGGCAATCACACGGGGTGCCCCGGGAGTGCCAGCGGCGTGTGCTTGTCTGTCCCGCACCCCTGGCGAGTCTCCATCTGCCTGGACTAACGTGGCCTCAGAACGGCTTCCCTCCCGAAGGCAGCTCGCTTCCCTGTGAGCACGGGTGAAGGACCAGGGTGTTCTGGAAGTACCTCAGGTTGTTAACTCTAGACCAGAACCGAAACCTGTCCCTTACACAGCCAGTGACGGAAAAGCCTGTGCTCCCAGGGTGGATTCCTGGCACCTCTAGTGGCCTCTGAAAGTCCTTTCGTTTTTGTTTTGTTTTGTTTTGTTTTGTTTTTAATTATTTTTATGTCAAAACTGTTCACAAATAGGAAAAACAAAGCAAAGAAAAACAAACGGTCATTCCCGGGTACGTATGTTTAAAGTGAGAGATGGAAGGAGATGGCATGAAGAGGGTGCATCTCCTCTGAGTCTCTTGCTTAAGAAATGAGCACAATTAAGGTGGTGCTTTTCCGGAAAAGTTGTAATGAGCTGATTAAACCAGCTTGTACATCATGAGTTAGCTTTATGCCCAAATATGGAAATATTCCTGAAATCTAAAATTTAAAAATGCGGGGATGATCTGGGTAAACACTTAGCCTCCAATAAAAATGTGTTTTTCTTTCCCGTCATTTTCTCGTCCTTTGTCATCTCAATGCAAGAAGCCTGGCGGGGGGACTGAACCCGTGCCACGTTGGTCAGCTGAGGGGTCACCTGGGGGCTGCTCCTGCACAGAGGGTGAGACGCCTTTTTCTAACTGGCACAAAGGTGCTGCCCTTAGCAGCCCAGTGACCCAGCAGCTGGTGGTTTTAAAGAATGGATCTCTTAGGAGGTGAAAGCAGAGCCCGGGTACTCAGTAGGCGTCTCTAGTATGTTTAGTCAGTCTTGTCTTTGTCCCCTGCCCCCAACAATATTCCTGCTGGCCTTACACCTCCCTCCTGCCACCAGCCTCTGTTCCCGTAGCTGCCAGAACGCTCTATTAAAAGGTAAATCAGGTCCTCTCCCTCCCCTTCATAAAACCTCTCCCGGCGCTTCCTTCTTCATGGCAGCAAAGAGATGGCTCCTAGGGCCTTAAAAAAAAACATCCTTGGTGGGGTCCTGGGTAGATGAGTTGGTTAAACGGTTAAGCATCTGACTTGATCTCAGCCTAGGTCTGGACATCGGGCTCCACACTGGGCAGAGCCTACTTAACAAACGAAAACATCCTTGGGTTATAATGTTCCCAGAGGCTTTACAAGGTTTATATACCTTTCATATCAAAAGCATAGAGGAAGGATTTACACATACAAATTTTTTCAAAGAAATGCTTTGAGAAGAAGGTACAGAGCCCTCTTTCCCTTTTGAGGTCCCGCCACACTCTTTTCCGGAACAGCTGCACTTGTCCCTTCCCACCAGCTAAGTATGTATGGAGGTTCCGGTTTATCCACAGCATTGACAAAACTTTTTATTGTCCTCTAATCACTTTTTATTATGGTAAAATACAAATCATGTAAAATTTAACCATTTTGACTGTTTTTAAGTGTACAGTTTGGTGGCGTTAAGTTCATTCCTAGTGTTGTGCAACCGTCCCCGCCATCTGGGTGCAGAAGTTCTTCATAATCCCTTCCTGAAACTGTCCCCACGAAACACCCAATTCCGCATCCACCTCTCCCCCAGGCCCCTGGTAATCACTATTCTCTTCTCTGTCTCGATGTGTTTGACTCTTCTAGGAACCTCACAGAATCAGTATAACACTTGTCATTTTGGGTCTGGCTTATTTCATTCCGCATAATCTTCAAGGTTCATCCCTGTTGTAGATCTGTCAGAATTCCACTGTTTTCAGGTTGAATAATATTCCATTATTCCATTATATGTTGCACCACATTTTGTTTATCCATCCGTCCCTGGAAATTTGGATGATTTTCTACCTTTTGGCCCTTGTGAAAAATGCTACTCTGAACATGGGTATACAAATATCTCTGAGTCCTTGCTTTCAGTTCTTTTGGGTGCATCAGAATGGAATTGCTGGATCACTTGGTAATTCTCTACTCAACCTTTTGAGGAACTGCTATATTATTTTCCGTCGTGGCCACATGTAAACAATAAGTTTACATTCCCACCAGCAGTGGATAAGGGTTCCAGTGTCTCCACATCCTTGTCAGTATTTATTATTTTCTGGTTTCTTTTGTTTTTGTTACCCACAGCCATACTAATGGGTTTAAAGTGGTATCTGGTGGTTTTCGTTTGTATTTCCTTACTGATTAGTGATGTTGAGTGTCTTTTCATGTGCTTATTGGCCACTGGTATATCTCCTACAGGGAAATGTCTATTCAAGTCCTTTCGCCCATTTATCTCTTTCCTTCCTTCCTTCCTTCCTTCCTTCCCTCCCTCCCTCCTTCCTTCCCTGTATAGTTCATATAGTGTTATATTAGTTTCAGCTGTACAATTTAATGATTCAGCACTTCTGTGCATTACTCAGTGCTCATCATGGTAAGTGTACCCTTTAATTCCCATCAACTGTTTCACCCACC